GCTAGCCGCCACGTAGGAATAATTTAGGACTGACCAATAGTGGGGCACAAATTTAAATACAAATGGCGGGAACTCCTTGCAACGTGCATTTCTGTGTTGCAATGAAGAAATGCACCCTGCAAAGAAAGCTACAAATGGCGGGAAAATAATTCAGCAGTGCCGAAGCGCGAGCGCACACAAAAAAAAAAAAAAATCACACCCTTGGGTTGTGACATTACTTAACTTTTAGCTTTTAAAAAGTGCTAGTTCAGCTTAATAGAAATATGCTCCTATGAAAATCTGTGAAGCACCGCACAAGTATTGCTTTTATTAACCCTGTAGTCTTGCCTTATTGTAAAAAGTATAAAAGAACGCCCCACCCTTTAGGGGGGGCCATTTTACCTCTTTGCTGGCTTAATGGTCATTGCTCAAGTAAATATACTGCAGTAAAAACTTTACCTGTGTTGCCTGGTCCCTATACAGCTAAACAACGAACTCCAGGGAGTTTTCTCCCACCACAATAGCAAGGTTTGGGTAGCACATGTCAAGGCACTCTGGGATTCAACAGCAGTCCTCCCAATGCTCTAGGCCTGGCAGAAGCTCCTCCACAATCTGAAGTCTGGTCTATGCTCACAGTAGGATTTTCTTAAAGGTACTATACCCCTCTCTTGCCTCCCCGCTCCCAGTAACAGGGTACGGCACCTCTTGCATGTGTGCAAACTACAACATTTGCTAACATGCAGCAGTCAAGTGATTGAGTTTTGCAACTGACATTGCAAAGTGACGCTGCAAGGCCAGTGTTAATCAGGTAGATCTCACAGTAGTACTGCTCCCTCAGTTTCACACTGGGATGTTTTATGGTGGTGATGTCCATACACCGTAAGAAGGTTTGTGATATGAGAGTATCTGAAGAATGAAAAAGAAGCCACTTCTAGAACATCTGTTCACCCCCTGCCTGCTCTTAATTCCATCTACCTGGCTTCTTGGGCAAATCCAGCAATGGAAATAAATTGACATTAATCAAGTGAAGTCTTCCAAGCATGAAGAAAATGCTTGGCCTTACAATGGGACTGTTCAGACAAGTGATGGACTCTTAGACAGGCAAGTTTTACAAAAATCAAGAACATCAGCTTGGGCTATTCCTATCTGGTTCTGTGCTGCCCTCTTGTGGCTCTAAACAATGCATTCATCACCTTTGTACTTGGCCAGTGGTCCAACCTGGAACATCTCACTCTCAGAACTGTGTTTTTGCTCATAGGAACAAGCAGCAGTGTCTGTAGGTTAAAGAAAGAAATTCAATTACTCCATAATAGCTTGTTTCAAGTGAATAAGCATGTGAGGACTTCAAAAGGAAGTTTCCTGAACATAGGTTATCTTTGAAGTCCAGAAAAATAAAGATGTGACCAGATCAAATTTGGCAAAAGTTTAAGGGAAAACATAAAACAGGTTTTTGTTTGTTTATTTGTTTTTGTGGATAAGACCAACAGAAAATTGTATTTTTAGTTGCAATAGAAATAAGCATCTCTGCTGTGTCTGCAACACTAATGCCGTAACATCAGGCTACTGCATAAGAACGGAACTATTTTCATTGTCCATAATGAAATGATTGCAAAGAGCAAACAACGTGGTGACAAAGGATTTAGCTCCATAAAAAACAGAACAAAGAAAATACCTTAACACTTTAAATAGCATTTTTCAGCTGTGGACACGCATTCCATTTTTTCAAAGACAAACTGAGGCAGACAGGTAAAGCCACTTGCTTAACAGAGAGCCTATTGCAGAACCAGAAATAAAATGCAGATATCATGACACTATCTTACTCTGTTTCCAGTTCAAAAACAAGGAGGAAAATTATTTCAGGTTTAGGAGCCATGGCCTTGATTTCCTGATCTTCTCCACTATGAGTGCTGAAAACCTGTAGCTCCCCTTGACTCTAAATATAATTGTGGGTGCTGTGTGAACCTGAAAATTCCCCCCCCCCCCCCCCAAATATCAGCGGGAATATAGCAAGATGAACGTTATTAGATTAAAATATTATTTCAGCCATGACAGAAACCTCAGAAGTCAGGCGCTGAAGTTTGGAAAGCAATTTTATTCAGGACAATCCTTGAACACAACTTCAGTCCTTTGACACATATACATACTTCAGTCCTGATGAAGCTTGTGAGACCATTTGTATGTGCTTAAGCCAGTGGTGCTAAATCTTTGGGCCACATGAGCCAGATGAACAGCATGGGTCTGGTCTGCAGGCCCAACTGGGTCTTGCCCACCAGGATTGGGCCCTGCACTGCCCCCTGCCCCACACTACAGATTGACCCTGTGCAACTGTATCAAGTCCCAAACAGGTCCTTTATGCCCAATCTGGTCCTTTATGTGGCCCATGGAGCTCCCACAGGCCCTGAAATTTGGCAGCAGGGGAGCAGCTACCATGCGGATCTGTGGAGAGCTTTGCAGGCTAGATGACAGCTCTGTGGCTTGAATCTGATCTGTGGGCCAAGGGTTGAACACCCTGGCTTAAGCAAAATGACACAATGGAGAAACTCTAGCTAACAGGAAGGGCAGAGGAGCATTAGCATACAAAAAACTTTTATCATGCATTTAGCCCTTTTGTTAAAAGTTGAAGGGGCATCATGAACCCAAAAATATAATAAGTTCCAGCAATGGTTGACATGCTAAGGCCCTAAGGCTTACATTAAGGTTTTTAGATGTTCTTTCCCCTATTGCCAGGGAGATATTGTTCGTCTCAGTGTGGAACATCCCCTGCCCTGATCTCTTGGCCCTGCCTACTAGTGCAGTCCACTCTATGACATTGGGTTTTTCTGTAAAGACCCATTTCTGGACCTTTGCAATTAAGGTTTGTATTTACAAATAACGAAACGTGACCCTCGCAGAGGGGGATTAAAGCTGGGAAAAGCAGCCGCATACCCCATTGGTTCAAAAGGTCCTGCATGTGGCATGGGGAAGGGAAAGGATGCATGTCCCCCTGCCACAACCTCCCTAGGTCTGGTGCCCAAGTTTCTAGATTTTGAAGCCCAGCCTGTGGTCTATGGGGCCCATGCGTCCTGCAGGCCATAGCTGAACCTACAGTATGCAGAAGCCTTGTCCTGCACAGGCCACAGAACTAGGAGGAAAAAGGGGGAGGGAGACGGAGTCAGCCGCCCGCCTCCCCACTGAGCAACACAAAGGTCACTGCTGCCAGCTGCAGGCACTGCCCTGGGGCACCTCCCATCCCTCAGAGCTCATGGCCTGCTGAGCCCCAAGGAGGGACTGGCCTCACCCTAGTCACATCACCGAGCTCCTGCCTGCCTGTATTTCAGGGTAAGGGCAAGGGCAGGGTCTGACATCCTGCTGCTGAAGCAACTCCAGTGGGGAGCAGCGCAGCACCCTGCATGCCTGCAGGCTCCTTGCAGCTGAAGCACCTCTAAATGTGCTGGAGCCAATGCCACTGTGCCCCCTCCACAGATCCCAGCACTGCTCTCAGCCCTGACTCCCTGCAGCTCCCAAGGACAGTGACTGCAGACCACTAAAGAACTAGAACTAAAACGTGGCATTTCCAAATTCCTTACACTATTGAACTGCTGTGTGGGGAAGATGCAACTGTGCTGTTCCCCACAAATGCTGACGGGGAGCTTGGCCTGTTCTCCAAGACTTAAATAAAAACCTCACACATTTTATTTATTTCATTTTTAATGTTTATCAATTCAAACCGTTTCTCCCACAGACAGGAGAGAACAGTGCTTCAGATACAGGAAGTACCACTACTGCACTGGCAGAAGGAAGAAGTACTTCGCAATATTTCAGATTTTTTAGACGCTCGGCTACCCAAACCTGCAATCTGCCAAGTGCATATCTTCACATGCAACTGTGGGACAGAGGCTGTACCCACAGCTGGTAAGGCTTATTCCTCAGTTAGAAGCAAAACAGGTTGACACAGCGCACAGAAAAATCCCAAGTGGGAAACGCTGGCAAACTAAACAGCAGCTTCCAAACACTTTTCCTCAGAGTAGTGGTTCTCAACCTTTTTAGTCTCAAGGCACCCTTTAATAGACTCAAGGCACGTCTTGGAAAAAGCCAGCTCTTAAGTTTTCACTTATTTTTTTCATTACAGAAAAATTAATAGAGCACTTATTTGGTTGCAAAAAACTCAGACCACAACAGCTCAGAATCTCTGGGTTTATCTTGTGAATCATGTTTTCACACTTAACATCAGTAACTATATGGCACCCTTGAAAAATCAGCACTCTGGTTGAGAATCACTGCCTTAGAGAAAGTCCCAACATCACAATTCCAAGCAAAGGTGAGAGAGAAAAGGAAAAGAGTTTTTCCAGTCAAGTTAAAAAAATAATTTTATTACTTGGATACATGATCAGTTTACTCACAGGATTTCAATGCCTGATTTAGGATGAGGCATTTCAGAAGATAAGAAACATATTCATGTACAGAGGTGGAGTCCAAGGGATGTATTCCTGTGATGTCACCAAGATTAGAGCTAATTCTAGGTAGGACAAGACTGACAATTATTTGCTTGGGGTCAAAGGTTGAGACCAGCAGCTTGGACTCGGTCCAACCTAAGACATGTTCAGGCTGCTTGCCTGATTTACATTCACAGTTGCCTAAATATAAGTAGCATCTGCATAAGTGAACAGATGTACACATGGTCCCTTGGAAAGGAAACTGGTAATTGCAAATTAATCTTCACATATGAACTTTTGTGAAAAAGGAAATTCATCACCTCTGCAAATCCCAGCATTCCATCTGACAGGCAGACTTTCTTGCCATCTTCCTGAAATTGCTGCCACACTATTTAGTAAGCTCCAACACACAAGTTTACAAGCTTTCTCCAGAAATGAGTCTTGAATTATACATTGAGCCCTGATAAAGGTATGGAGGGATACCCCAAAAGAGACAGCTGACAGGACTCTCACAGAACTTCATCCCTGTTCTTCATGTACAGGGAGTGAAGAAGCTTTCTGAAGTGCCTCCACACACTTCCAAACACATATTCATATAGCAGATCTCAGACTGGAAGAGGCAGGACCCATCACTCCACAGGGACTGAGCTAATCCAAGGCCCAGGCATACCGAGCCCTTGCCTGCCACTAAGTGTCTTTCTGACAAGGCAGGGATAGGTGGCTTAAAGTGCATCTTTCCACCCAATAGGAACAAAATGGAACCCCCCGCTAAGGAGTAATAATGCTAAACTTGCTAGAAGGCAACGACTTAGTGACCTTGGCCATGTGTCTGGGATTTTTATACCAGCTATGGATAATGACCTGCTGAATAAGAAACTTTAGGAAACAGTCTTTAAAAAAGGTAGTTTTTTTTCCTTTTGTACGACAAACAGAACTATTAGGTCAATAAATGGCAGGTCAGAACAAAAGTTATTAACATTTTCCTCCAACTCCTTGGTACTGAAGTGTCTTAGCATGGAAGTCCACTGACCATTCGCTCTTCCAATACAGACAGATTTGAAATCCCATTGTGCCTGTGAATTATTCTGACTTTTAAGGAATTTGTTTTTTGTCCAACTTGGTCTCTTGCTAGGAAGCATCTAGAAAAATTCTGAACAAATTTGACCCTGCCAGCTGAGACAGGTGTTCTGCAAAAGAAATTAAAGATGCCCCTTTGGCCAATGGAAACTAACCACAACTCATCCTTCTGTAGTAGAGCATATTTTTTCTGGTACAGCATCCATTGCCAGCAATGAATACAGGAAGTACGGTCATCTAAGCCCAACACAATCTGGGAAGCTGCTGGAAGACTGGAAGCACTTATTAACATCACTGCAATGCACAACCGGAAAAATCCCACTTCAGCTCCAATGGGCATTCTTGACAGATGCTGTGAAAAGGACCCCAGCTTAGGAGCGAAGTATCGAATCTAGTTCCACTGATGCTGTCTGCTCTTGCCAGGTGTTTTCAGAATGTACTTTCAAGCAGGCAGTGGCACCCACAGCCAGTAGGACACACCTCCTGGGTGCGAAACCATTCCATCATGTGACTGGTGTGTCCCCCATGTCCACAGGTCAAGCAGAAATTGGAGGAGCCTCGCACTGCCACATGGCAGATAGCACACTGGAAAGTGAAGCCCTTGCAGATGGCACACTGGGTGCCCCGCACTTCACTGCGGCAGTGACTGCAGTACACCCCAAACTCTGACAACAGAAGAAAGGGAGAAGAAAAAAAGGAGAGTAACAGTTAGCATAAGAGTTCTCACTTCTCTGTCTATTCCAAGGGCAGGAACAAGGAGTGCCTCCTTTTTTTCCTCCAAAGCCCTATTCATTGGTCTTGGACCTGACCTGGAAAAAATGCCCTTCAGAGTAAAGGGAGACAGGGTTTTTACAAGGCACTTTTCCTTTCTGTTCTCTGCTTTTCTGCAGAGATTATCGACATGGGAAATAATCAGTGTTAATTAGGACAAGACATCAATGCACTAGGAACTGGCTTGAGTCCCATGAACTCCATTAACTGAAGTTACCTTAACAGCTGCTAAGGAAGTAAAGGGTTTCAGCAATTATGAAGTTGGGATGAATTGAGACACTGTAAAGATGAGAGATTCCCTTTGACATCCTCTGTCCCACAGTTCTAAAGTACAACCAAGAAAGAACAAATGGGACGTGTCTGTTTCTTGCTGTGGCGTTGGCTAAACACACAGATTACAAAAAGTTAATGCTCAGCATGTGAGTGTGGCCCACCGGCACCCTCCCTTGGAGGAGATTCCAGCACATTTCAGGGTGCTCTTATCCTCCAGCCCAAGATCAAGGTAAGGGGGCAAGACGAACCTCCTTACAGCAGCTGCTCATTTTTCTGGAATCACTTTAACCCAGAAATCCAGTACATCTTTTCCAGAATCCTAATGCGAATAAACTGCAAATGCAGTCTTTTCTAGGCGATACTACTAGGCACAAATCTAGGGAGAGTGATCTGTTCATACCATGTCTGGTTGAGTTACCTCTGCTGCTAGATTTAAGGTTTTTGTGATTTTCTCCACTACACCTTGCAGGAACCTTTTAGTCCACAGTCAAAGATAACCATCACCCCATATTTACTCTCTGATTTACAGGTATGGAGGAACAGCTTTCTAAACAATCAGTTGGACATTGCAATGTAGCAGTAAAGCTTTTCCAGAGAGGAAGGCTTCTCCATCCTATCTACAATGCTACTGAGCCAAGATCCAAATATCCCAATACCACCCCAAAACGGCAGAATGCTCAATACCATTTGATGCCAATGCCAACTTCCAACAGGCTTTAATGGATATATCTTAGATCAGCGGTGCTCAGCCTTATGGCCTAATTGGTTGGATAAGTGGTATGGCATTGGTCCACAGGCTGGATCCAGTGTGGGTTTGGTACATGGGGTCAGTGTGTAGGTGCTATCTGGCATGCCAGTCCAAACCCACACACCAGATCCAGCCAGAGTGGCCTTGCATATCGACTCCACTGTGAACTGGTGATTTAGCTTGCACACTTAAATCTTATGGCCTGTGGGACTCTCCACGGGTCCAAAAATCTGGCATCAAGGGCGTGGCAATTAATGCTAGTACTGCTCCCCCCACACCACCTAAATTTTGGACCCATGGAGAGACTCAAAGGCTGGATGACTTGGCCTTGTGTGCTGTAGATTGAGCAGCACTGTTTTAGATCATTAGGCCTGTTGAACATTTAGCCCCCATATCCTTGAGGTAGAATAACAACACTAAAGCAACAGCAAAAACATGCAAAAATACACACTCACCAATTCCCTTGTGAGGGTCTGGGGGACAAGAGACAAACTTTAGAACTTCAGCTCGCTTTTCTCGCAGACCCCAGCGATAAAGGATTTCTCCATAGCATTTCTTGAAGTCATCAAACTGCTGAGCATTGGCAGGGTCCAGGAGCCTGGAGGAAACAATCTAAATGGTCAGGTGCTTGATTTGCTTATTTTCAGGGGCTGTGTCTGCAATTCTTACCCCAGGTCCATGTCAGCGGCTAGGCCAGTGGTTCTCAACCTTTTTATTAGCCTCAAGGTACCCCTCAGAAAAATGCCAGGTCTTAGCTTTCACTCTTTTATTGACTACAGAAAAAAAAAAGAGAGCCATTCTTCTGTTGCAAAGAACTAAGAAAGACTACAACAGGTCAGAATGTTTTTGACACTATCAGGTCATATGTGAAAACTCTGGGTTTAATTTTGTGAATCATGCGTAGGTGTTGCTAATATTACACTGCATCCTGCAATATTCTTAAAAGGATCTCATGAACTGAGAATCACTGGATTAGGCAAGGAGTTCTGAGAAAATTAAAGGAGCAACAGATTATTCTGGCTTCCTGGACAGAACTGTATGCATGTATTACAGCAACAATGTAGTGGTAAGACTAAGTGAGCTGCCTCCATTTGTCATCCACATTAGTTTGTGCTGGAGGTAAGTATTCTTTTCTTGGGGTCTGACTGTAGCCGACTTGCAGTCAGTCACAGCAGAATTTGTTTGGAGCATTACACTTTTACAAGCCACTAACTGAATGAAAATTGTTTGGAATAAAGGAGTGGGATCTTTCCTTTAGAACAGTAGAGACTTTCAGCTGATTCTCTGATAACTTCCAAGGTAAGACACTAAGCTCCAAACACCAGCTACTGAAATGGAAGATGCCGTGTGTTACCTTTTGTTTTTTTCATGTTGATCTTTCTCACGCTCTCGATGGTCAGTGTATGTTAAGTTTCCGAAGCGGAAGTCTTCAGGGGAAGACTCGCACCAGGGAGTGGATGAATGCTCTGACTCTTTGCTTGCTGTAAAAGTAAAAAGCAGGTTAGTTTGCTCAGGGGGGTGTGACAAAAATGAGCTGTAAGCAAACCTGTGCCATGTTTGCAAGGCAGGGAGTGGAGATACAAAAGTCGAGAAGAAATATTCACAATTCCCTCCATTACAAACCCTACTACAGACCAGGAAGCTAAGAGATGAACACTTAATTTGTCCTCAGCCACCTGAAAGCTTTCACTGAGCAACCAACAGAAGATATTATGCAACCACTTGCGGGGGGAGCAGCACATATAGTATAAAAAAATCTGGGTTCAAAGGGCTATATTTTGCCTTAATTCCATTTAAATTATTGAGAACATTCCACAGGAAGTGTGTACAACTGTGTGTTTATTCACATCAGTGGGCCAGGATTCTATTCCCAAGGGGCTGGGAGCACACTACTGCCAGTTTGCACACCTTCAGCTGGGGGCAGGGAGGGATTTATTTTTTCCACACTAGCCAGCTAATGATGCTGGTGTGAAAAAAAAGACCTCAAGAAAGGAAATCTTTAAGGCTGATTCCAGATATGTACATGATCTGGAAGTATAGAAATAAGATAGCATTGATTAGGGCTGTGCGAAATGGCTAGGTTTCGTTTTGCTTTCAGATTCGGCTGTTTTGGAGGGACAGCGATTCCTTTTGGTGTTTTGGATCCCACTTCCATTTCAATTCGGCCATATCTGTTTGGAGTTTCAATGCTGTTTTGGTGCCGATTTGGAGATTCGGATCGGCTGGGGAGAGGTAGGTACAGCTGGGCAGCTGCAGGTTCTCCTGCGGCTCCTCCAGCTGTGCCTGCCTCTCCCTGGGTGGTGGTGGGGAGGCGCGGGAGAAGCCCCCATGGCTGCCCTGCCCAGTCCCAACCCCCACCCAGCCGCAGCCTCCTAGCACTTAAAAAAAGCAGCCCTGCACTCGCCAGCTGTAGAAGTGGTGATCAGGGCCTCCAAGGGCTTGTGGCAGAGCGCACCCCCCCAAAAATGCAGTGCGGGGCAGCAGGGATCGCCCCCCTCCTCCCCCATGCCTGGCACCCATGTGGCAGCTGTCCCATGGTGCGGGTGCAATGTGGCTCGGCAGGGCGCTGCCTGGGAGCTGGGGCTGAGTTGTGCCAGGCTCTGGCTGACTGCTAGAGCTGCCCCACCTCCCAGATAGCATGAGGTGCCCTGCTGAGCTGTGCTGCACCTGTGCAATGAGACAGCTGCCACATGGGTGTCAAAGTGGGGGTGATCCCTGCTGCCCCGCGCTGGGGTTGGGAGGATAGCCATGGGGGCTTCTCCTGTGGTTCCCCCCATATGGGGAAAGGCAGGCAAAGCCAGAGAAGCCACAGGAGAACCTGCATCCGCCCAGCTGTGCCCGCTTCTCCAGTTTATCCAAATCTTTTCCGAATTGCTTCAGAGGCTTCGGATTCGATTCAGACCTTTTAATGGGTCTCCCGATTCGATTCGGACACCGAATCTTCTCTGAATTGAATTGGCGAACAAAGCTTCACACAGTCCTAGCATTGATAACTTCTGCATGTAAATATTAGTTCCAAATCCTTGTCTCTGCTCCCTTCTTCATTCCATAAATACCCACAAACAGCACTTAGTGGTTACAGTTTTGTTACCATTAGGGCCCAATATTGTGGCAAGCCAGATATGTTAGGCTAGGGACAAGCATTACACATAAACCAGTTTAAGTAATCAGAAACTGGTTTAAACCTGTAACAGAACAGATGTTCAGTGCATGTAAACCAGTTTGAAAATGGCTGAAACCGGTTTGAGATAAACCTGGTTGAATGTAGTATCAGACTTAACTGATTTGGCTCAAACTGGTTTATGCAATGTCTGTCCCAGACCCCTTGCTAGTTTAAGATAAACCAAACACACCAAGCAGCCCAGCATGCTCTCCTGTCTGGGTGGGGCTCTCTGCTCCACAGCAGAACTGGCCCCTCCCCTCTGCTCCCGGGCTGCAGCTCCGGTAAAGACTGCAGAAACAGCAGGGTCTGCCTGGCATACCCCTGCCCTCCCCTCCCCTCCCTGCTGCCCCCTCCCACAGTATGGACCCCAGTCCCACGGATACTAGGCACATGGTATGCTAGCTAATGTTTGCATGCTAGTGTTTCCGTGCATGTCTCTGCAATTTTACTGGGACAGGCAGACAGCACAGTGACCGCCACTTAGGGCTATTTGGAGCTAATCAACAGGTCAGCAGGTAAGCTGATTAAGAAGAGTTTGAAGTAATGAAGAGAACCTACTGTTTTTCTGATGAGGTGATAATCACTGTTATCAGTCCCCTGCTGGCTTGCTCACCTGTAAGTTTGCTGCAGACGGTATAAAGAAGCAGGGAGAGGGAGACTGAAAAGCTCCATATCAACAGATGATATGCACACATCCACCTTGCCTCAGAGTGCTAGCAGGGGGTTGGGGGCTGGCAACACTCCCACCCCTTGAGCTGCCAGCAGGGAAAAGCCTGAAAAAATCTGGCACTTTAGTTTGATTCTGGGCGTGTGAAAACCTGCCACTCTGGCTTGTGAGAACTCTCTCAAATATAGTGCAAGTGGCTGAAACATGACTGAAAAGTGTTATGCTGTTGTAGAAAGTACCTTTATGACACCTAGTATTTATATTACCAGTATTTATGTCACCAGTGTTCCAACCTTTCAAACTTCCACCATTCAAGCTCAGCCGTCACACAGACAAGGAAGAAGAGAAAGCAGACAGAACAAAAAGAATACTTTGCAAAAGCCCCTTCAGCAAATAGCTGAAATGTTCTAACTGGTAAAGACTATGTGCTACAGTGCATGGAACAAATGGCCTCAAACAGTACAAATGGTACAGTTCGTTTCACTCAGAGTAGCGACAAGGCAGTGGCACTCAGTCTGCCATAACTAGTAGAGGAAAAATAAAATAATCACCAGCTACCACTTATACTATCTTAGGTACAAATCCCTTAGGATATCTGGAGAGATGCGAAATGTATTTATAGTCAAGTCCACGAGAGCTGAAGAGGGCTTCAGGAAAGGTTTACTTTATCAGACAAAGCAGGTGACCTTGATTTTTCACCCAAAATTTAGACATATGGCTTCTGTCTGCATCAAACAGTCACTAATAAAGGTCCATCTCACAACCCTTCGTCCACAGGGAGAGACAGACAGCCAAAATGTCAGCTATCTTTGGCTCCAAGTTGATCTGCTATCCCATGGTCCGACACTGAACCCTACAAGCAACTACTCGAGCTCTCCATACCTATGTTCCAGCCTCCAGTGCCGAGTCCAGGATCTGACATGCTGGAACAGGAGCCTGAGGATGTAAAGCTGGGCTGTCGAATAGAAAAGAGAAGTCACATCATGTACATCACAAAGATATTCAATACTTTAAAGAAAACCAATCAGAAAGGAATGGCTGTCCATACATATCGGCTGTGGGAGACCATGTTGCAAGACCGCTGAGGGAAGGGTGCACATGAATTTGGACATCCCTGCAGTCTGGACTGGGCCTCAAACACACTGCACAGCATAGCCAGTGTCTGCACATCATGGAGCTGAGAGTAATGAGCCAGCCTGTAAGGATGAGAGGCAGCAGGGTTAAATGGCAAAAAATTCACAGCAGTTCAGGACCTGGGAAGCCCTCTGGAACTAACTTTAAGACCTCCTGGATGAACAAGCTTTGGCATATATTGTTACTAAGATATGTAGGTGGTCTGGGGGATTCCTTTTCATGGCAATTTTATTGTAACGTTTTTTTATAAATAAAAGGAGCTGCCAGTTCGTTGACATGCAATTGTGGCCTATTTCCCAGGAGACAGGTTTTTTTGTCTGCTTGTCTAATCCCCTATACTATTGGAAAGTTGGACAGGAAACATACTGGCACTCACTGGTCCCAGGATCATAGCTGCATCATCTCCAAAGAGAAGTTACACAGAAGCAAAGTGAAGTTGGAACAAATATAGAGCCATTAGACTTGCTGGTTTATCATTAAAAAAAATTGTGAAGTCACTTAGAAGCCTCCACATTCCATAGTCCTAGATCCTTTCCTAGGTTTGAGAGGCAGGGACTCCTGGAGTCTGAATGGGTACCTGAAATAAAAGTTTTATTTCTAAAGTGATTTTGTTTGTAGGGAAGTTTGGAGTGGATGGGAGGGAAGCCACCCCTTCCCTCTTCACAGACTTACCTGCTGGGCAGTGGCGGGAGAGGGGTAGATCTTGGGTTCCTTTTAAATTACAAAGGTGATCTCCGACTTAAAAAGGTTGGAGACCACTGATCTAACTGGTATCTACAGGCATTACCGTGGTATAAACAGCAAGAACTTTTCCCAGCCAAAAGAGAAGCAGCAAAGCGTTTTCTACCTTCCTGCTAAAGGAAAGTGGTAGAGCAGCAGGCCTCTTATTAGGGATGAGGAAGAATTTTGAGTTAAGGTGTATATGGGTCCTCACCCTTTCTTTCCCTTCCTTTCATTGCCTAGGCCCAGGTAATGAGTTCTGGATTGCAAAAGCCACCCAAAAAGGCACTGCTGTAAAGGTGGTACTGGTTTAAGAATGATGCAGGAATGGACAGTGCCTCTTTCTGACACCTGCCTCACATCAAGAAAGATCAAGGGCAGATACCAAGAGTTCAAGTAGCAAACTCTGCCAGATCAGTAAGCAAATCATATTATACAATTCTAAGCTTTGGAAGAGGTTACAATCAGCTCCCAACCCTCTGCCCGAACAGATTTTGATCATCATCAGGTTCATGTTGTAAAAGGTAGCAGAATGAATCAGGCCACGAATGGAGGGGACCAAATGAAAAATTTATGGATAACTGTAGACAGCATCAACTTGGAGCAGAAGTTAATTTGATTATGAATTCATTCTGCAACCAAACCAAGGTACTCAGTTGGGAAGGTATTGAGGGAAGCAGCAAAACAGTTATTACTGTAGTGTCATCTCAGTGCCAATGAATAGAGAGTTCTTGATGCACCCATATCTTGAACCATACAATCTTATCACAGCAGCAAAGCTACCCTTAACTCAACCAAGGGGCAAGTGGAAACTTGGCAAGAACCCAGTAGCTGCCTCCTAATTGCAGTAAGTAGATTTAAAGTTTCCCTTCTTTGTATTAAAAGGTGCATCTCAGTACTGAGATGAAGCCATGGGCATATACCTCATAAATCTCCTTTTTTAAAGCCACTGGAATTCTCAAAAGGTTCCTCATATCTAAGCCTGAAACAATATAGTGCTGCTTATAGCTACAAAAGGCCATGCCTTCAGACACTACTCCTGCTTTGTTTTGCATTTCAGAAACCTACAGAGACTCCAGCAGCTGACGTCCAAATGGATGTTGGGCCCAGGGCATCTCCAAATCTGGGTCAGGTTTTGGCCCAAGACGAAGATCGGTGGCTACTGTAGCCAGAGACCAAACCTATGAGAGAAGAGAAACAGATCAAAATACAGTTAGAAACAAAAATAATCCAACGCTGATGGCTCTGAACCCATGCTGCCTGTTTTCTTAACAGGTACAACAGATTTACTAAAGATTAACAGGTTAAGCCACTATGGGCTTGGGACTTGTGTCTCAAAACAATAGATTAGGTCAGACATATCAACCAACTGATTGCATCTTGGCTGAAAGAAAGCAGGGCTAACCATTGTGGAAGGAGTCCCATGCTCTTCCCAGTACACAGTTACCAGTGTAGAAACTGCCAAACTGGATCAGACTTGGAGTCCATCTAGTTCAGGGATGTCCAACTGACAGCCCGTGGGCTGCACAGGGCCCATGAGGGATTAATTCATGGCCCCTGGCTCCCATCAAGCTACCGCTCCCCTCAAGTCTTCCAGCTGCAGAAGCAGAGGGAGTCTCTGGGGTCCCTGTCCCTCCTCCAGCTTCTAGTTTTTGGCCCTACACTAGAGGAGGTGAGGCATGGCACAGTGCAGTTCATGGTGTTGGGGTGCCCACCTGGTATGATGCAGCAGGGAGCCCGTGGCTAGGGAGAAGAGGGTGAGGCTTAGATCCCTGTGCAGTACAGTGAGGGGGGGTGGGGCATGCAGAATGTGCTCCCCCTCCCGAATGCTTAGAAGTCAAAAAGCTCTAGATTAAGCCATTGAGTTCAAAGTCTTACTGAGCCCCAAGGCCCATATGTCTGGTGTGGTTAAAAAGCATGCCCAGTTTCTATAGCTGACAGTTCACAAGGGAAGTACATGGCTAGCATCACATGCGGCTGCTTTTGACTCCCTGGTCTTAACAATGAGCTATCCATTTACCATTGGGGGCAGTACTTGGTATGAGTCCAGAAGTGAGACTTCAAACCCATGTCTTCTGGTGCCATTACAGGACACTTAACTGCTTTGCCATAATGTGCCAGTAAGCTGTTAAGTAGGAAAGTTCATATTCTATGTTTTAGTGGATGTTTCCTGTCTATATAAAGGACAAATCCTATCGTGAAACAGATTAAGCATTTGGACCTGGGACATGTGGTGGCAGCATGTTCCACAAGATATTATATGTTTATACAAATCATATCTCAAGTGATCAGTGTGAAATATTATTGGACAGCTCTTGTTTTTTCATTACAACAGAGCATCAATAGGGTCATCCAATTTGCTATTTCTATATCCATAGAATTTATTAATTTGTATACTTCTAACTATATCCTCTCAAATTTCTCTAAACTAGACAGTTCCAGTTCTTTCTGTCTTTTTTTCCCCAATGACACACATTCTTGGTTTAGGTTAAACTAACAGCTAAGTTTTCTGCTTTATCTTTTTGAGATGGAGTGATAAGAACATAACATAGTATTCAAAGCAAGTGGGAATTGCTGACAAGGAAAGGGATTAGGAAGTCTGGTTTTGGAAGGACAGTGAGATCTAAAAACAAAGACAACCGCTGATGGGAAAAGAGACTGCTCAATATGTGAAGAAAAAGAAAGAGCAGGAAAATGAAAGCAACTCACTTTAAGCTGGAAGCCTGGAAAAGGAAGCGAAATAAAGAAAGACAGGCCTGAGCTGAGGAGCAGAGACTATGAGAGGAAAATGAGAAGGTAGGACAATTCCTGTATTGTTATACAGCAGGTTTCATATGGAGTAGGGGAATTCCTGTTAATCTGTGCTCAGGTCTTCAAGCCTAAAATGTGGAGCAAGACACTCCTGTAATGCTGCAATACAGGGTGGAGTGGATAGGTTTAGACGTTGGAGAACATTATGGGAAAATAGCATAAACACAGACAAGATATGATAAAATCCTTCCAGTTAGCTTTTCTTTTGACATGCAGTTTAATCCTTCTTACATTTAATGTGAATCAGGAAATGTTTATGCTAGTGTGCATGCATTAAAGAAACACGAGCCTTCTCAGAACTCAAAATTTCTGTTTTCATATAGTTTCGTGACAAACTATGACTGGTACAGCTCTGCTTGACCCTTCAACTCTTCTCCTGCTCTCAACACAACTCCCTCCCCTCCCCCTGCACACCCAGGACACAGAAGTGACTTGTTACGCCAGTTATTTTGTTAATGGTGGTTCTCATCTGGGATGATGCTAAAATCAGAAAAGTTATGGAAGGATGCCCTGAGACGGAAAAAGGTTGAGAACTACTGCCCTAGACAAAGGGCAAACACAATACCTGTACAAGATCCCTACGTCCAATTGCTAGGGCTGAGGCTGCATTCTTCTGGCAGGTCTCCTGAATGTTATTCACATTCAGTCTGAAAAGGAAGAAGAGAGAATTCAGCTCTTATCAACATGGTACATACAATGCCAGGGCTGGCTACTGCTCACAACCTGGACAGAATTTCCTAATTTCACTGCAAAGTCAGATTGATCAGCACATTCCCCTTCTGTCAGTATAATGTCACCAGTATGTCAACATGCTAAGATTTGATGCTGATCAGTTAAATGATTTTACCATTCAGTTTCCAGAGCAGCTTCTCTAAAGTTTGGTAGTCAACTATAGATTGGGGGGGAGGGAGCATCTCCAAAGCAGTAAAGCTGTTGCCAAGCAGCACAGAAACAGGCTGGCATTCAATGTGTTCCTGGGCAGGAGGCCATGTCACTATGACTAGGCTCTCTGCATCACTGAGGGGTTATTGAAAAGGTATGAAGATACTTGGAAGAACATTTGGCTGCTTCCCTACTCACTGAAGTAGTTAGCAGCTCTATTACATGTCCAAGATTTTCTATCTACTGTGCTATTCCTGTTGAGGAGTACTAGGAAGAAAGACAGCCAAGATATCACAAGTGAACAAGCAAATGGAACAGAAAGCAGGTCACCTAGGTAAGCCTCAGAGAAGAAAATTCTTGCAGGTCTTTTAAAGAGGATCTGCAGAGGAGAAAGAAAAGTAGGCCTATTCCTTTTTTTTTTTTTTTTAGGTTCTTTATGATGGCTAAGAAGGAAAAAATAATTTGTGGTTTTCCAGACAGAGACGCATTAAAATAAATCAATCAATCAGACATTAGACATGACCTGTCTAGATTGAAAAACTACGTATGAATAAAAGGCAGTGTAATTACAGTATTACCAGAGGCAAGAAAGTAAAAGCTGAGCAACGAATTTCTAATCCGTTTATTTTTAAATTTACTTTTGGACTTCAATGACTAATTAACACTTTGGGGAAATACCATGTTTGCTAAAAATTTAACTCCTTCACCTTTTTGGTTAAGGTGAGAATGCTCACACTACAAATACATGGACAACAATGTAAGGTTTTCAACAAAATCAGGCAGCCCTGAGATTTCTGATGTCAACAAATACACACAAGCCAAAAACAACTTTTCAGAGCTTTCATGAGACTGCATATTTGTTGAGATTTCTAGATCTGTTCCTTCATCATAAAGAAGCTAAAAGGATGCTGTGAAAACTGTCCATACTGATCATTTTTATTTCAAATGATGACATTCTCTAGTGGCCACATACAAAATCTTCAGCAATTATGGTTAGAACTGGTATTTAGACCTAAGCACCAATTATTCTGCCAGCTATTTGTCTGATGACATTTCACTTCCAGAAATTTGTAGAAAGCAAGTAAACACTTCTGGACAGACAGGAATACCACAGGAATATACATGGTAGAAGTAAAGAAGGGAGGATGAGGTGCTCAAAACCTTAAATAGAACAAGATGATGATTGATTTCAAAACTGCAGAATGCAGTAGTCACAACGAGGGCTACCTGAGTTTATGACTAGATGCACAGCTTTTTAGCCTGCCTACTCACACGTATAGCTCTCCTAGTGATTTATGCACAGGAAGCAGACAAGAGATGTCCTGGATGATGACTTTCCCAGCAGCTTTGATGGGTCGGTTGTTGGCATCTGTCCCTTCTCGTTTGCTTTTCCATCTCCTTGATTTCTGCAGATAGATGGCAACATGTCACTGGGGAGGAGGACAGGAGCTACACTGGGACAAGGAATGATGTATTAGCTTCAGGAATAACACAAGCAGCACCCAAGCCTGCCTTTCAGAAGGCTCTGTGTTCCCCACAAAAATTTTAATGATATGCCCAGGAGAACAATCACCTCCATCTGTAGGAAGTAAATAGCAAGTCAAGGCAGCAAGCTCAAGGTCAAACTCACCTAGAAGGGAATCTGCAAGCATCTGGTGTCTAGAAAGCCAGTACAACCCACAGAAGGTTTGGCAGAAGGACCATTCATTTCTTTGTAATGGTTATGGGTCCAGTCCAAGGAACCCTCTGCACAAAGGACAACCATTGGCTTTAGTAGGAACCTTGGTTGTGGGAGGAGGTCCCCAATTGCTACTAACCACAGACTGGAGTGCCAGGGAGTCTGACATGCCCATACTTTCTCTTTTGGCCAGGTCTGCATTGCTTTAGACATTACAAGCAAAACAGAGCTCCAAAGGCCTCAACAATGGTTTTAGCAGGGATATGAAGAATTCCAGATATTTTTAAAGACATTTAAGGTGAGGCTTTCAAAAAGCACCTCAGAACATATGCCCTACTAAGTGTCAGCAAGACTTGTGCTGAAAAATCCCACTTCTAGTTTGTTTGCTTGTATCCTTGTTGCATTATGGTCAGGTGTGCTGAGCCTTTATGTCAATGGCCATAAGCACTGGGCACTTTTGGTAATCTGGCTAACCTGGACCTAATTCCACTCAGTCACATATGTGCAAATCTCAGTCCATCAGGGCAGAATTTAGGATGTTAAATAGCTTTCTTTACACCTAAATATATACATTTTAAATCTCTGACTCTGAACAGGATTATGTTGTCAGGTATGGGCCAGCATCTGCTCAGACAGAGAAGCCTCCCCCTCATTCCAGGAGTTCCTTCACAGTTGCTCTCTGAGACTAAACAACACACACAGGATGGGCCAAGCCCTGCTCTCATTGGAGTCAACAGAAAACTCACACAACTTCATTGGGAGCAGGCTTGGATCTTTCTTGAGGATATGTAGATAAGTATCAACATTATTTGTTAACATGTATGGAAAGGGGAGACAGAGAAGGTGGTATGCACTACAGCATGCTACTAAAAAGTAAACTGGCAAGCAGTTTTTGAAAAGCCTGCAGGCTTCCCCACTCTGTTCTCCCCACCAATACTGTCAGTTGTACTGTCAGTTCTTTCCATTTGTGTTATAAACCGAACAGAAGTTTGTACCCAGCTTTAAAGATGTGGAGCTATAATCTCAGCAGGTATCACACCAATGATTTCAGTGGGGAATGCCAACACAGCTTGTGACCTGTGAAAAAAGGGCTGTGCTAAGCTTCGGCCCCTGATCAGATTTGGCAGAGATTTGGCAGCCAAGTCTCCGGGGGGGGGCAGCGGCACCTGGGGTCCCCTCGCAGCCGATCACTGAGCTGGGAGGGATGCAGAGGGACCCATGCGCACTCCCTGGTGGACCCGGAAGTAGACTGGAAGTACTTCTGGTCCACTTCTGGGTTCACCACCAAGCATGCAGGCTCCCCCCAGCTCCTGTGGGATGCTCCATCTGCCCCAGCATTGCAGCGTTCATGAGCTGCACCTGGTACCTCGAGGTATGTGGCAAGAAAATCCATGTAAAGCTGTGTCTATGGCCGAATTGCTGATTCTCCAAATCAGCACTGAATCTTCAGATTCAACCGAATCGAATTGGGGACAGTGACCTGAATCAGCGAATCGAATCACTGTCCCCAATTCAGGCTGAATCCAAATCTAATATGGCCCATTTTGCACACCCCTACTGTGAAATACTACGGAAAGTAACATACCCCCTACTGGCTAACATAGGACAGGATTTGGTCTCATCTGCACTCAAACAGATGGAGAGTATTCCCAGGTTCCCTTAAAATATACACACTACCACTCTCTTACAGAGGGCAGATTTGAACTCTTGCTGTTTTTTTGTTAGGGCTAAAATCAGACAGCCTCCTGACAGGCATTTGAAGACTTAGAACATGGACAAGACACATTTGCCACAAAATATATCAGGCACTTATTTTTGATGATGATGATGGTGACGATGGAAAGTGAAGTTCCACGAATGAACTGTTTGCACCACTAGGCATTAGTACGTCACCAAATGATATAAAGAAGAAATGAACTATTCTAGAGCCCTTCAGAACTTGAACTCAAATAAAGTCTTCTCACTTTCCCTGCACTAGTGCTCTCTACCTAACAGCATAATTTGGACCAGAATTCTTCACTGCCACAGCTGCACTAGTAAGACTCAGTGACCTGGTAGTTCGAAAAAGCACCACTTGCCTATATGGCAGTTCCTATGACAGCTACTTCTTATGAAGCCCATACCAGTGGAGACCACATAGTCACATTTTCATGGTATGGACCAGTGCTTCTCAACCTCATTAGGCTCAAGGCACCCCTTGGAAAATGCCAGCTCTTAAGTTTTCATTCATTATTTTTTTTTTTTTTTACTACAGAAAAACAGAACAATTCTTCTGTTGCAAAGAACTCAAGATGACAACAACAGGTCAGAATTTCTAACACTATGGATTCCTATTTGAAATCTCTGGGGTTTATCTTGTGAATCATGTTTGTAAGCTTAACAATGTTAACATTGCATGGCACCCCACAGCAGCCTTGAAAGGATCTCAAGGCACCCCAGAGTGCCACAGCACCCTGGATGAGAATCACTGGTACAGACAAAAGTGAAAGTCTCATTGGTTTGCCTTAGTTAGCCAATTTCAGTAAGTGATTGGAAAGAAAGTTAATGATGCAAGGAGGAGGAGGAGATGTCAGCTTTGGCATGGAAGCACAGAAGCAAAGGTATTGGGGTCTTAGAAGGTGCTGGTCCGCACTGGTCCTAACAATTTCTAGCAAATTGCTGGAAACTTGGCTGGGCCAAGTTTGTGTATGTTTAGTGAAGATCTATCCAAGGTGAAAAAAAGATTCCCACATTTAGATCTGTTGCTTCATATGGATTTGAAAAAAGGACATACTAGATTCTACTCTCCTTTTGCTCAAACTATTTTCCAGGGAGAATTTTTAAGATTCTACTCAGGTCCATAGCACTAGGGAGGAATAGAGCATATGCTTTTTTGGTGGGGAATGGGAAGGGGGCACTCTTGCATAGATTGATTCAACCCTCTGTGTACAACAGACTTGTCAATGGTGCCTCAGATATAGAGAGGCAGGGAATATAAGAAGTGAAGCTAAAACCTTAATGAATAGTCCCAGCCTAAACTAGCTTCATTCAAGGTGAAGGTGGAAAATTTAGGTGTCTCAACGTCCTGCCATTTCTAGCTCTGATTTTTCCGATCTAAGCCAGTAGAAACTGCCTCTACCCAGCTGATTGAAGGAGTCTGAGAAGAGAGCCAGGAGACAAAGAAAATAGCCACACTGAAAGCAAATTGAGGCGTAACACTTTCTTTGGGCATCAGAACAGAAACAAGATTATTTATGACAATCATAGGGTGGAAAGTGGCAGCAAGGAATAGCACCAAATAATGACTAAAACAGTCAACCTGCACCTACACCATCAAGCTCAAGGGTGTAATTTGTTGCAATCTGAGGTGATAATGATGGCAGATAAATGGGTTATATGTAGAAACAGACAGCCCAAGAATAATCCACCGAATGCTTTGCAGCAACCATCACTATCAGTGCATAATCAATAGAGCAGGTTACAAAACACCACATGCTCAGCCTGGTTGGAATGGGTCCTCACAACAGTTGAATGTACATCCCGTCAACAGATAAGCTTTTTAGGTGGCATCATGATCTTCACAGAGCCTTTTTCGTAGGGTTGTGGGAGAGATTTGGGGATTTAGGATTTAAACCATTTGTAATGGAGCTGAGGGGTACAAAACCAGGAATGCAGACTTAAATAACAAGGAGCAAATTGCACTGGATTTTGGTAGGACTTCATTTAAAAATTAAAATTTAACTTTAGGTCTAAGCTACTTCTAATGAAGTTAACAGTGGGGAGTAGGATGGTAGCTGATATGTTCTTTCTTGCTATAAAGAACAAACTGCAGCGATTAACTCCCATTACAAGTGTATAAAACAAACCTGACCTGACAATGCAGCAAGGAGTTTTTAAACAAATTTCTCTTAAACAACCAATCCCCCTCTACACCCCCCCACCCCAAACCCCTACTTGCTATTTAAAATGTTTCCCATAGGCACCAGTACCAGCTGCTTCTAAGGAAGGAGCAAGAAATCCCACATGGGCAATTATGGAATAACTTGCTTATTGGAGAACCTCATAGCTCCTGTCAATTAGTAACGGCTCACGTCATGAAGCCTGAGGGTTTCTAAGCAAACTCCTCATTAGTTTAATTACCTAAATGAGCATCTAAGTCTTCTTTGACTCTTACAAAGCTTTTGGTCCAAGACTCCCCCCAAAGTACTTTAGGTACCCAACTCACAGATTGATGGGAGTTTAGCACATAATACCTTTGTGTATCTGGGCCTTGGTCTTGATGTGTAGTGGTGAGAATGATAATTATGCAGTGCTTAAAATTACGCCTTTGATTTGGTCCTCCCATTTGTTCACTCTGCTCTACTGGGTGTTTTCCTGCTCCTTATTATGATTTTGAATCTCAAGTGTGTTTACCCCTTGTGGCAGCAAGGCACTGACAGTCCTCCTCCCTCTGCTTTACCTGTTGCAGGCTAGGGTGCTTTTGCCATGCCTTGTACTTGTGTGACAGGGTTGTTTGTTGTTTAAGGAGTTCTAGAAATAGGTTAGACAAGGACTTGTGTGAGATGGTTTAGATTGGGATGTTCCTGCCTCAAACAGGGGCTTGGACTGGATGACCTCCAGAGGTTCCTTCTAGCCCTACTTTTTTATGATTCTATGAAAAGAAGCAAGTAGCAGTGCCCTATTTACTCCCCCCCCCACCCCCAACTTATGGTTTTGTAATTTTCTCAGGCCCCTTCATTATTTTCCCTTTAAATCTGGACAGTTCCATGTTTTCTGCTTCTTTTGACATGGAATTCTCCCCCCAGCTATATATATTTTAGCTGTCAGTATACCAAATCCTTCTATTTGTGCTATATTTCCTTGAGGCAGACTGACCAGAACTGAACAGTATATTCCAGATGAGAATACTGATTTATATAATGTCTTTATGGCATTTACTGTATTATTTTCCAACTTCTTCATGCAGTGATATTCAGATTGCTACACACTGAGAAGCAGTTTCCACAAAGTTGTCCCTAGTGATGGAACTGTTATTTAGTAAGGTTTACTGTTTTGTACTTCCCAGGGTAAACCCTAGTGCCCTTTTAAAGATATTGCTGGAATGCAATAACTCTACTTAATTAAAATCAGGGGCTAGCATAGATAAGGAAACGGGATGTTAAGAAGTCCTCTGGCTTTGTACTGAAATGTTACAGAAGACTAGTCCTCATACAGGACTAAAGAGGAGGTAATATTTTGGTAGTGACAAATTTGGGCTGATACCGGATATCACAACAATCAGGTGAAGAAAGGCAAAATTTAGGAGATGTGGGCTGGATGAACAGAAGTTTGCTAAAGTAAATTTTGCAGGAACTGATGCCAGTGGCAAGTGTGGTTTGATGCCAGACAAGATGCAGCATGGTGAACTTCTCAGAGCTGTGCAAAAACAGGGAGGAAGACTCAGCATACAGCCTTGGTGTATGGTATGTGTTACTCGCTGTAATGCAGTCCTTTGCAGCATATTAAAAAAAACAAAACCAGTTGATTTTAATGAGATGAAAGACTTCCTCTAGGATCATTTTTCAATTTAAAATGAACTGTTCTTCCACAGTTTACAGATAATTCTGTACAATCCAAGTGCTTTGCTACTTTTATCAGTCTGGTCTCACTTCTTTTCTCTTTTTAATCTCCATGCTTCACAGTAATATACCTACGGCTGTACACTGATTCTCTCATTGGACTGAGTGTCCTGGGATTTGACAGTGTCCTTCATACATGTCACCCTTCCAAGCTGCATTGCTGCTCCTTTGCCAGCAAGTGGCCTGTGAAAGCACACAGCCTGACTGGCCAGTCCTTGGAATGAACTACAGTAACTGCACAGACATACAACAGGAGATCCCAGGAAAAAAAGTGTTACTCATACCCAACGTGAAAGAAGGTGCATAGGTATTACTTCAAACTCCTCAACTGTGTAGACTGATCAATCAATTAACACAATCAATTAAACTTCCCTACCCTGTCCTTAGCCTTCCTAATTGCTTCCTCTACTCTGTGGAAGTTACCCTATTCTATGATGTCCTTAGTCTTAGCCCTCACTCAGCCCCCTTTTCTTAATCAATAGGCCAGATAGGATAAAGCCATGCTTATACTCTGGAGACCTAGAATTTGAATATATGCAACTTTACTGTGGGGTCCTGTCCCTTGTATGGAACCTTTTAGGTCCAGTGCAGAGTGCATCTCCCCCATCTCTGATCTACTCTACCCTTCCTGGCACTAGTTAAAAATAAATAAATAAATAAAATCAAATCAATCTGTTACTCTGGTTACTCAAAGTCAGGCAAGTGGTGCGTTATTCTTGGGCCTTTGGGCAGAAGACAGGGTTAAGTTAAGGAGAACATTAGCACAGCACACAGTACCGGGAAGTCGTTAATTGCTTGTATAGACCAACGTCGTCGGGCAGAGCGAGGAGACATCTGCGTGTGAAAACGTTATACCCAGGAGGAGAAGGAAAGACAGACACCGAGAAAATTAAAAGAAAAAGAAAAGAATAAAATGAAAGAGTGCCCTGAAAAGGATGGAGCAAGGGATATTGCTCCTCATAATTTGTTCCCCAATGGTACTTACCAGAGAATAATTTCCCCACTCCCCACCCCCACTCCCTCCATACACAACCTTATTAAAATCAGCCATTTGAAGTTAGCACGAGTTACTGCAGGGTGCCCTTCATTAGCCTCTGTGTAGGACCTTAGCATTCACAAGCATTAATTAAATTAAGCTTCCCATGCAGAGTAGAGAAGTATTATAAAAAACAGGCACAAAAATGAAGCAACTTGCCCAAAAAATTAGAGAGAGAATCAGTGGCAAAGCTGAGGATAGAACCAAGGTTTCCCAAACACTAATCCCATGCTCTTACAGTGTTTTCCTTTTTTGGTGCCTGAAGCAAGGTTCTGAGCCCTAGATTAATCACGTGGCATTTATTTTAACTAATATCTGCCATGGCATCCACAATGCTGAGCCAGATCTTGGGAGGCCTAAGTAAAGAACAAGCATGGATGCTGAGGGGGAGACTTTCCTATGTGCAATGTCCCAGTGATCCACTGGTCCATGCAGACAGAATGAGAAGGCTATTGAGAACGTGGCCCACAGAGGATTTTTCAGAACAAAAAGGGATGATGAACCCATTGCTGTAGAAAGCCCATGAAGTTCTTCCCCTGTCTGTACCATACCAAAGATGTGCACTGTTGAGTAGCAGTGCTGCTACTGGTCATCAGCCTCATTCTTCGCAGCACATTTGCAGTGAGGGAATCCAATGGCATGCCCTCCACTCAGCTGATCAGTGTTGAACAATTTTCTTGTTTCCCAGGCCTCCTTCAGGTATGAAGCATGTTGCAGTAAAAGCTTCAGTGATTTCAACTTGGTACAACTGTTTACTTCATTTTTATATTAAGATCCCAAATATTAGGGTATCATGATCAGGCTCAAAAGACTATTTTACTTTCAGTCAAACAAGTAATCCAATTATATGAATTGCAACTGAATGTTTTGAGAAAAAAAAATGAAGACCTGAAATTGTATGTTATCTGCGGTATGTGCTAAACTATTCAGTCCCTCTTGAGACTACCAAATTCCACAGCTTCTCAGTGTGGTCTTTCTTGGGCTCAGCAGGGCTGGTTTGTGGAAGGGAAATAAATTAGGAGTGCCTGGAAGAAAGAGAGGAAAGGAATGGCTAGTGTATTAGAAGCTTGTTGAAAGTGACCTGTATGAGGCTGTGCAATAACCTAAGTGGGATGGTGGGGGCCTATTTAATGCTGAAGTGGAAGAGAGGCCCCCATACCAGTCCAGAAAGAACAGGCCTACCTCAGATACAACTGCTGCAGGTTCTAAAAGGTGGTGCAGATCAAATACAATAAGATTCATTTCCCCTCTACAGCTATAATTTGGCCTTCCTTTCTGCATTCAAGTTAGGTAAGTGCCAAGTTCACTGACTTGTGCCATTTCAGTCAAAACAAAACCATGAAAAAGTGTTTAACAGCTTGTGTCCAGTAGCTTTAAAAAGTAAACTGAATACTTTCCAAATGCATACATAAAGCATAGGTTTTTTTGAAGCAAAAAAAAAAAAAAATAAATAAATAAAAATCACAGATTTGGACTCAAAAGAATCACTTTAAGCTCTTCAAACACTCCTTCAGCATGTTTGCATAGCACTCAGGTGCCTTAGTCAGGACCAGGACTCCATCATGGTGGGTGCTATCATGAAAAGAAACAAACAACAGAAAGACAGAACACTGACAAGATTATTTCTGGGACCCTACTGGCTAATGGAACTACCATTAGATACACAGCCTTCTTGTTCTTGACTGTTATTCTCTAAAGCAGGGTTATCCAACTGGTGGCCCTTGGACTCCCCCTACTGTTCTTCTGCTCCTGCCAAAGTTTCCAGGCTTCCCCTCCCTCCTCTTCCTCCAGCTTGCGCTTCATGCCCCTGCCCTGCAGCAGAGCAGGGAGGTGCAGCATGGCATGGTAGTGTGGGAGAAAGAGGGGCCACACACCAGCTGCAGTGCCTGGCCTCTTAGAAACTGGACAGCCTTGCTCTAGGAAGTCATATTTATAGGGGTAATGTGGATTGGAGGGGCGTGTATATTAGTGTGCAGAACACATTTCCTTTTTTGAATTTCTAAAAGACCTCAGGAAATCAGTGGTTCAGCTGCTCTTACAGTAACACTAAAAAAAGCTATATCTGACCTGCAGTGAACAGATTTCTTTGTTTGCAATCTGGTAGTGAGTGCTGTGGTGAAGACTGCAGAACAGATGAGTTTAAAAAACACCTGGCTGATCTTTGGGAACACTCAATTTTGGGCTTAAGTTTGACATGTTTGCTCTCTACCAGAAGTGGATTTTATGTCTGCATTAAAATCAGAAAAATAAAGCTCCAGAACCAGGGGCTGACAGTATACAAATTTTAACTTTAAAATCTAGGAAATTAAATGACAAAAACATTAGTATTAATACAACATAAAGGAAGTCAGATCAGATTCTTAGAATTCAGAAAACCTCTCACTATGCCACTGCTGCCTGGAGATACAGATAGTTTCTACTCTTTCAGCTGCAGAAACATTGTGCTATTTGGATGGCAGGACCTCATCTTGCTATACTTTAGAGTAAGTAACCAGACAGGAGAAGCCTCCAGGCTTAGATAAGGGAATAATGGATTCCAACAGACATGGCCCCATACACATGCTTTATTCTGTAGAGTCTGACCCCCACAACAAAATCTTGTCACCACTGATACATGGACTATGGGAGGCAAGTCAAATGAAACTGCACTAAGATGCTTAAATGAATATTTTTAGACATGCATGTCATCTTAAAGAGTTGTGTATCAGGGACAAGCACAGTGCAGAGGACAGAAGCTGTTCTTTAAATAAACTTATGAAGACTGAATAGGCTGTAACACTAATATTGGGCAGCAACATTTTAGAGGTCATCAAAAGGAAATTTGGATGGAGTAAGAGCAAAGACAACAACTCTGTAAGACAGTCTGTTGGGGTCTATATTCAGGAATAGCTCAAGATGTGAGCAGAAGTGACAGGTTTTATCAAGGCTCAGCATGTCTGACAAATCTGCTGACTGCCTTGTACCAGCTGAGCAGGAGACAGGACTGATGGGATAGTTACTGACATTCCCTTGATAAGGAAAAAATTGTTTAAAAAACAAAAACCAAACAAACCCCCAAAAACCCACACACCATTACTGATAACATCAGTTCCTCTGTAACTGCCCTGCAAGGACTAGGAGTTCAGGAGTCTAATTCCCCATACCAACACTAAGGAAATCCCAGGCTCTAATGCAACATACAACAATGAGCTCTTGGCCCTGCTTTAGAAGGCTGGGAAGTCATCTGCTGTTGGAACCAAAACACCAGAGCTGAACCCAGGCATTGGATAGTTTACAATGAAATCCTGGAATTTTAAAGGCATTTGACAATGAGCCAGCACAGTTCTGAGCAGGTCAGTTCATCTTTAAAAAAGGCTGTAAGATAAGTTACATGTATAGTATACATAAGAAACCCCTGTGTCCTCCACCAAAACACTGTTTTGGAACTACATGCAGTCTTAGTCAATCATAGCTATTTATTTCAACTTCCAGTAGAGCAATATACAAAGACGACTGGTTTGCTTTCCCTGCTCACTCTTACTCACCCAAGAGGAAAATAACTGAAAACTAAATATAACCCTATCCCCAAAAGTCTTGCTAGATGAGGGCTAGGTGACTGCCATGTTAGCAGATGCTGCAGTTAAAATATAGCTACTTTGGCTGACAGCTCTTTGGGGTAGGGATTGTCTTATCATGGTTTAAACACAGTTGCACAAAAAGGCTCCAAACCCTGATGGGGATATTTAGTTGCTGCTGCAACAGAAACATCAGTTAGAAACAGAGGCATTTGACCTTGGAGAGTTCCTCAAGCGGCAGCTGAGGAAGGTCCAATTTGCACTTGAGTACATCATGGAAAGCTAAGCACATGCAGAAGACCTCATTCAGGAGGGCTCTAGTGTTGCCTAGATTTGTATTTAGTCTGAAATTGCAGCCTTCACAAGAGCTATTGGTAGCAGCTCTGTGCACTGCCTCCAACAGCAGTGTTTAACAGCACAAGTACCTGCATTAGACTTATCTACTGAAATGAGTTGGAGTCATACACAAAAACTCTGATGGTAAGGTTAAAGGACACAAAAATAACTGGGCCAAAACAGAGAAACAACTCTGGGATACAGAGAAACAACTCAAAAGCTAAACCAAGTGGGTGTTCCTTCAGAGCTGTTTATAAGGCCACAATGAAGAAGCTTCTCTATCATAAGCAACGATGCTAACAGGCTATGGAGAAGAAATGCGAGTTGTTCAAGGCAAGTTATTAGGAAAGGCATTTTGGTCTGATATTTACCCTCTCCTTGTAGTAGAAAGAACTGATGGAGACCTGCTCCTTCTCGCTGCGAGTGGGACTCCCACTGTACAAACGCAGATTGCCTGGAGTCTCTGTACGAATCTTCATTGGTGTGATTAGCCCACTGTGATAGGCTGATAAAGCAGACAGAGATCTAGAAACAAGGGAACAAGCTTTTAAAAGCCTCACACACAGAAAAACCCCACAGAATCAAAGGATTGGAAGGGACCCAAGGGTCTAGTACAATCCTCTGTTCCTAAACCATCCCAGATGATACTTTTCCAGCCTCTGCTTGAAATCCTCCAATGAAGGAGATTCCACAACTTCCCTGGGCACATTGCTCCACTAACCTACTATTCTTATCATCAAGAAGGTTTTGAGATTTCATCTAGATCTGCTTTGCTGCATTTTAAACCCACAGCTATGTGTCTTGCCCTTGTGGCAAGGAGACAGGTTGTTTCTTTTCTTCTTTATGGCAGCTTTTCAAATATTTGAAAATGCTATCATGCCTCTTCTTAACCTTCTTTTCTGCAAATTAAGCATGCCTTGCTCTCTCAACCTACCCTCCTACAGCTTGCCTTCCAATCCCCTATTGTCTTCATTGATTACTTTTAGAAAATGATGAGCCCAGAACTGGATAAAGGACTCCAGCTAAGACTTAATTAGTGCTGAGCAGAGTTGTACTATTGTCAGAAAAAACAGAAAGTGCCTTATTACTGCATTCAAGTCATTAAAAATAAGTTAAAAACAGCAGACCTCTGTGGAGCCCCATTTGAGCCTTTCTGCTAGTCTCGCACATTAATGCATTTATACTTACTCTCTGCTTGAGGTTTTTCAACCAATTATATACCTACCCAATAGTAATTCTAGTTAGCCAACATTTCTCCAGTTTACTTTTAAAAACTATAATGTGGGATTGTATCAAGTCTTACTCAAAATCCAAGCATATTATGCCCATTCTATTCTCTTCACCCACTGAACTAGTTACCCTCTCAAAGAAGTCAATTCATGTTGACTGCTAGTGATCTCGAGGAAACCTGATTTTCTCCAATAAAAAAAATTAAAATCCAACATTTACTGGTTTAAATAATACAAAAACCCCAAACACCCCCAAATCCACATTTTTCCATGAACACATACATACATGTGTGCATACACACACACACACACACACACATATACATACACACACACACATACATATTTTATGTGCATACACACACACACACACATATACATACACACACACATACATATTTTTTATATACACACACACACACACACACACATACACACATATACATACACACACACACATACATATTTTATGTGCATACACACACACACACACACATACACACATATACATACACACACACACATACATATTTTATGTGCATACACACACACACACACACATACACACATATACATACACACACACACATACATATATATCAACACCCCAGAAAATATACGCACACACACACACACACACACACACACACACACACACACTATATAGTGACATTTCATTTTAATCATGAAAGTGTGGATTTTGTTGTTTGTTTTTTAAAATCAGAAAAAGTTGGATATATAGTGGGAGCGCA